CATGAAGATCTCGTCTCATAATTTGTGAACTCCTAAAGATACGGACCAATTAAGTGGGCACCAGACCATTCGAATAAAATGATGCAGTTAAAAGTCAGGAAATGTATCTCATGACATAAGTAGTACCATTATCTTGGCTCAAACAGTACAATAGAACACCTGATAATTGCCAAATTTTGGTTAAACATGTCAAAGTTGAGATATTAAAATCAGTTTCAAATGTCTCTTTCTATGCTTTTGTATTTCATTTGGTTTCTTTGTTCTCTTTTCCTGAATTGAGCGCTTTCAAATGCACATGCATAGCTAGATTTGAAATAAGCAAGAATGCTAGATCAATCAGATTTTTCCTACCGAATGCCAAGATGCCATTAACTTTCATACCATCTAAAATTACTAACCTTATATCCTTAATGTCCAGACCACGAGCTGCCACATCAGTAGCTACTAGTATTGGGGACCTTCCATTGCGAAACTGATTCAAAACGTAGTCTCTCTCGCCCTGAGATTTGTCTCCATGAATAGCAACAGCTCCAAACTGCCGAGTTAAGTTACCAGCAAGCTGATCACACATTTTCTTCGTGGAGCAGAAAATAATAACCTTTGATCCTGGTTCTTGAGATCTCAGTATCTGTTCCAGGCGTCTCCTCTTTTCCATGGGTGGCAGAACTTCAACATACTGCAGAAGATAAACAATTATGTTATAACAATGTAAAAAAAAGGTATTATGAAAAAGAATCAAGAAGAGATTATTCACCCACAAATGTACCTGAGTTATCGCCTTGTTAGCAACAAGCTCATCGACATTTCCAATGTTAACCTGAACAGAGTTAACCAGTAAATCAGCGGCAATTCTGCGCACCTCCTTGGGCCATGTTGCAGTGTACATAAGGGTCTGCCTCCGAGAAGGCACCTGCTTCACGATTTTCCTGATCTGAGGTTCAAACCCCATGTCCAGCATCCTATCTGCCTCATCCAAGACCAAATACGACACTTGGTGGAGGCTAACTCTTCTCATCTCCAGAATGTCATTCAATCTACCAGGAGTAGCAACCACCACATCTACACCTCTGTCAAGATCCCTCAACTGAGGACCTTTAGGGGCACCTCCATATAAACACTACATTAAAATACCAAAGTTAGCCAGAGAACACAAAAAGAAGCAACAATGACAAAATCTGATACATTATTGTATTAGGCTTATTGCTCATTATTATTCGACTCAGGCCAGTCCTTGTATCACGACATAGACCTTGGGTCACTCACAAAAAGCCCACAAGAAATTTGTCTACATCTATAATTAACAAAACCATGATAGGGGAAGTATACAAAATCAAGGTAATTATTAAAAACATATGACAAGACCAACTGAGGAAGACAGTTGCAGACAAAATATGGAAATTAAACATTGTCCCACAAAAAGTTAATCAGATTTACAAATAAGCAACATCAGAAAAATACAACAGGCAAGATTATGAGTAGGCAGGATTAAAACCATACCGTGCAAGATATCTTAGACGATCTTCCAAACTTAACAGCTTCATCTTGTATCTGAGTTGCAAGCTCCCTTGTCGGAGAAAGCACCAAAACTGTTGGGCCTAATTTAGGATTATTATGCCTCTGTTTCAAATGAATGAACCCAGGAATTAAGTAGCCCAAAGTTTTCCCAGATCCTGTCTTAGCAATGGCTACTATATCACGCCCTTGAAGAGCAATTGGCCATGACTGCGCTTGTATTGGAGTAGGAACAGAAAAACCAGCATGCTGTACCTGTAAAACGGAACCGAAAAAAGAATACGGACACCATAAGCAGAGTTGGTGCTTCAAAAGTTCTGATTGGTTCTTTTTTGGACTAAGCAAGTGGCCACGGTACGAAGAAGCATCATCCCCTGGTGATGTCAGGCACTGCTTGCAGAAGCAAGCAATATCAAGAGGACAGCTCTTCGTCTATTCGGACCGAGAGACACACTGAATGGCAACCAACTGAATTCCCTCCCAAGCTTGGATGATTCGGAAAGCCCCCTCACATAAATTGGTCCATCAATAAGGGAGCTCCAAAAACATGCAAGCCTGCACAGGAGGGCCACAGCGTACGACATTTGACTCCTCCAGGAGCAAATATCGCACCTGAGACAAAAGGTTCAGACGGAAAAAATTGAGCATGAGTTCCCAAACACCACATGGAGCCCCAGCAGTATCTCAAAAGTGAGAAAAGAGTAAACCAGGCTCATGATTACAACTCACAAGTGCATCCTAAGTGCGAGTACAGAAACAAATTAAAATATACCTCCCTTAATATCTCTGAAGGAAAACCAGTGGATTCAAATGAGCAGAAAGGTGGAGGAACATTATCTCCCTAGTCAATTGAAATACAGAATAGTCAGTTATAATTTACAAAGAAAGTTAAGTCGAAGTGTAGATCTCTCAATCTCACATCGTACATATGAACAGACTCAGAAAGTAAACATATTTCAACAGAACTTAAACGACTTCGAGACAGGGATCCAATGATATCTCCTCTGTACTCCATAAAACCGGAAAACAACATCAAAGAATCATCTTCATAACATTAACTACAGAACTGACAACAAATTAACTGACTCGGTATCTTCAAAATATCAAAGACCCTCACATATCATGGTCAACATTGATAACAAATAGGCTACACATTACCAATAATGAAGCATGAAATAACATTTTGAACGAAACCAGGCAACGCATTAAGTTGATCTAGGGATCAACATGAGAAATGCACATAGTCTAGCAATCATCAAGTTCAGATGCTTACTGTAACAGAAATCTCATGGCGACGCCGATAAGAATCTGCCGACACACCGCTTTCCACACCTTTAGAAACATATGATCCCTGTCCACTGCTTCTGAAATCTGCATCACGTGGAGAATAATCTGGTCTGCTTCTGGCTGTCTAGAACAAAAATAAGATGGGAAAGGTCAAGCAAATTGCATAACTAATTTGTGTTCAGCAACTTCACCAACAACCGACTAAAAACACCTGATGAATTCCTGCTCCAGAAAGTACCTTTGCTGATCCATTCATGCCATCTTTAGTATATCTATCGTCATCATAGTTTTCATGTAGATGTCCCTTGGGGAGCTTTTGGACCGACGAACTCAGAGCTTTGTGAGATGATGCAGAGCTTGCATGCAATGAGGAGGCTACAGGTTTCTCATATTGGGTTATATTGGTCTCTGGGTTCCAGTAATACAGATAACCAGTCTTATCATCAACAAGTCCTTTCCATGGTTTGGGGAGGGAGGGATCTTCAGGTGCATACCTTATACCAGCTCCTGCAACTGCCATATCGGAACTTACCAATAACCTGGCAGCAAAAAGGTGAATATGTTATATGTAACTCCATAAAGAAGTAGCACAAAAACCAGAAACTTCTACCAAAATAATGTTAATACACTGGTTATAAAAGTATAAAACAAACAAATTGCAAAAAGATTTGAGCAGTCAGAGCAAAAACCAGATACAATGCTGCAAACTACAATATGGAAGACATAATACTTCATAAAATGGCATCAAGTTCAACTTCCAAGCGCAATTCTACAGTAAAACAATACAATAACATGGCAGAAATTTCAGCTGTCCATAAATCTTAAGAGCATTCATTAAATCAAATGTAAAAACTAGCCCATAATCGATCCGATACTTAAACATTCAATATAACAAAAAATCAGCACACTTCCAAAGATCCAAAATCCGAAAAACAGCCGTTGGATTAACACAAAACCCTTCTACCGGAAAATCCTGCCCTGAAACCCTAACAAAAGCCAATATGATTGTTCACAGCTGATTAACGCGAAATTGTTCGGCAAAACGACTAGATCTAGAGAGAACTAAAATCCACAACTAAATATACCATAAACAATAACAAAAATCAAAGGAAAATACAGAGAAATCGAACCGAATCTTCGTCTTTTCCAGAGTATAATCGCGAGAATAGGAAGCACTTCCACACCTGAACTCTCTCCTCTCTCCTCTCTCCTCTCTCCTCTCTCCTCTCTCTTGAGTGAGAAACAACCTAAGCAGACGACGAATATGATTGGATTTTAGTGAGAGAGAAAAGAGAGGGATCTACGCTCCCGATAAACCAGAAGCGTAGGCAAATGCAAAGATGGGGCCATGGTTGTTTATATACGAATTCAATCTACTTTTTTAAAATTAGGTATTTACTTTTTTTTTTTTGTTCTACCACAAGCACAACACATAGGTATTTGTTTTTTTTAATCATAAATCATGAAAGGCTTCTTTTACCAATGAGGTTAGTGGACCATTGAAAATTCGAGTTCAATTTGGATTTCTAAAGACTTTTTAATAGTTTGAGATTTTAGAAATTTTAGTATATTTGACTTTTTATAACATTTGTAAATATTGGGTATATAATTGAGATTTTAAAAGTCCTAACAAAATTCTGAAATATTTAATTCATTTGACATTAGAATTTGTTAAGATTTTTTAAGATTTGGTGTGAATAAAATACCTACAAAATTTGAAATTTCTAAAAAGTCTCAAATCTTAAAAGTATTTAAAATATCACTTAAAATTCCAATTATATACACCCTTAAATTCATTAAAATGGTCTAGAATTTATGATATTTTCTAAAATGTTCTTAAAAGTAAATAAAAATAAAAGAAAATGATGTTTCAAATAAGGTCGCGAGGTGAATAAATAGGGCCCATAGTGGGCCATTTGTTTACTTCGAGCCCACTTTCCAAGGAAGTTTCGGTACAGCAGGGCCAGTATATAACCAAACTTTAGGCCTAATCTAAAAAATTCCAATTTCTCTAAAACAAATGTGGTAAATTGAGCTCATAGTGGGCTTGTTTATTGGGCTCATATTGGGAAATATTGATAGATGGCCAACTTTATTTTTTAAGAAAATAGTGAAGAAAATGACGAACCAAAAAGCCCCACAATCGGCCCGAACCTAAAAGGCTTGAGTGCAGCCTGTCGGAGCCCATTTAAGATTTAATGACAAATTTTAGTTAATTTTAATCACGAGTAGCAGTTTAATGTGTGCATGAAGGTGCGAATAGGCTACCAAACTTCCTTGTATACAAATGGGAGTCAACCATAAGACTAACAAACAACAAATAAATTAAATATACTGCAATGACACATTTATTTGGTATAATCAAGTCTCAAAGCAATAATCAACTATTTTCAATTGTACATATAATGTCAAGACTATCATCATATACAACTAAAAATATATACTGTCATGTTAAAGATAATGTAATTCACAATCCAAAATAACAAAATATAAATGAGCATCTCATACAATACAAATATCGTCATATACGATTCTCATAGTTCTTACATTTTTATTATAATCCTAATCTATGCCTTTGTTTGGTTGTTATCAAATAACAGATAGCAAATAGTTGATGTGTCAGCGAATAGCTGATATCAAATTATAAAACTTAATTTGACTAGCGGTTTGTATTAGTTGTTTGTAAATAATGGACTATATATATTGAGTTTTTCTAAATAGTGTTTGGGTAAGGATGTAGGCTTGGCAGGTGTTGACAACCGACCTGATTTGTTGGAACTAAAATGAAGATTAATGATCATTATGCAAGATGGCCGCTCAGATCCACTCTTACGTCCAACTTAACTCAACTTAGTACAAGTTAGGCATCAAACCGACTTTATGCATAATATATGAACCGACTTCGGTCCAAGGAGACAATTGACTTCCCTAAAGACCCTTCTCGAAGAATCTCCCCACGAATAGAGGTCCAAGATGACCAGAAACTGAAGTAGGTGACGAGACATCCACACAATTGGACCACGTGCTATCTTTGCAATCATTATTGTTTTCCCATTGACCCACAAACCACTTCATAAAATTACCTTGCATTAAATGTTATCGTATCTACCTCGTACCATAAGTCAAAGACACACTACTATAAATGACAGAGTTTATTCTTGTACGGGGATCATTTTTTTTTACGCACATTTAATACACACATGCAAATAAGTTCGATTAATTTACGCATATACCGACTTCATGTATCAGCAAATACTCAGAAATAATTCAAAGTCTCCACTTTTTACGCTTTAATTACACTATATGTTATAGATGTTAAATTCCATACAAGTTACAACCACAAATATATATATATATATATATATATATATATATATATAGATGTAGTAGTTCTATGATTTCAGTTTATTTTTCCTTTTGTATGTTTTGTGGTTATCCAACAATAATTAATCTGATTAGATCAATAAGATCGAATTTTTTATTGATAAGATTAATTGTGTGCTTTTTTATTAATTTTTTTTCCACATTTAGTCTAAGTTTCAGATAGATTATTAGCTTCATCGGGAAATTTTCATGACAATTAAACAAGATTTACATCAAATATAATCCTGAATTACATTGCACCTCAAGTATATTTTTATTCCCTCGGGCTTACGTGTGAGTGAGCACAAGACGCACGCCTACTTCTCCCCTAACTTGACGGTGGAGGCTCGGTCTTCTTTGAGCCAGCGGCTGGGATTCCGGGAAGGTGAAAACCTTGGTAAATATTTGGGTATGCCCATTATTCATTGTCGGGTGAATAAGGCCACTTATGTAGAAATTATGGAGAAAGCTGAGAAACGTTTGGCAGGATGGAAAGCTTCCACTCTATCTATGGCTGGTCGGGTTACTCTGGCTCAAGCTGCTGTAAGTTCTCTTCCCTATTTTTCAATGCAGACTGCTTCGTTGCCTTTTGGGGTATGCGATAGCTTGGAGAGGAAGTGTCGAAATTTCATTTGGG